AATTTCATCGCAATCTTTCCAAGGCGACGCTTTAAAAAGACACGAAGGAAAATCGACCTCTGCGTCTACCATCGAACTAGGCAGATTCCTTAACGAGAAAAAGAATTCTCGCGCGTCATTGTCATCGGGTTTGCAATTACTCAAACGCGACGAATGACACGAATGTGAAACTCCGTGTCTCTTGCGACTCCGAGAGTCGTCGCGGGAAAATATAACGCAATATGGTTGGTACTTGTGTCGATGCAATATGGGTCGGACCGAGTACTTTTCGAGCTTGCTTACGCGTGTTGGGCACGATTGGTACACCGCTTCCACGAAACCATCGTCGGATTGGAACTTTAAGTGGATCCTAGAGAAATGATGGATTCCAGGCTAGGCTGCTCGTAAACTCGAGATGAGCCTTCTATGCGCCTCTACTTATCGTTAGGACAGTATCGCTATTGTGCCTGGAAATTATAAAAATGAGGACGGAAAGCCAACCCGAGACCCGTCGTTCAGACATTCCTAACTGCGCCCAGAACAACATATCCAATCGTGGCTCCTCAAGGTTTCCCACCAATTACCAACTCTGGCTGATTTTGTCAATTTCTCGGTTCCTTCGGCAGGATTCGTACGTGTTCTCTTACAGGAACGTCTCATCGAGGTCTTTTTATTATCTTGTTCCCTCGATCCTCCTCGAAGGACCGTCAAAAAGAAGAAACAGGCAATCACGTAGGAAGACCTATCGTGACATCATCGCGATATTATTCATTACGGTTCTGGTATCGTATAGTTAATCTCGCACACTGTGGTATGCCTAAGCCGTACGTGACACAGGTAGCAGATCTTTCATGGACCAAATTTTCTCTCTTTCTGTTCGTACGGTTCCCTTCTCGACTGTACTGCCGTTGCAATCGAATTGCAAACTCGCAAATCGAATCTCGTAAAAATACCTAATGCTTTTCAGCCGCTCGTGATATAATCCGATAGTCTCACCGAGCTCAATGAAATCATTTTAATGGATAATCTCGTAACAATTTTCAGCAGCTCATCGACTTAATCGCGAATATATCTAAGAATTATTCCGAGGAGCCTTGAGACGATGATTCGATCCACGTATCGAAGTCAGAGCAACTTTGATGGATTGACTCATCTTCGGGAATGTCAAGGGCTACGTGTATTAGGATAAGAAACGATGCATTTATACGGTCTCTCCGTAATGCATCGTCATCGATTGTGTTACGTGTAAATACGAGCCTCTCCGGATTCTTTATTGCGCAAGCGCGCCTCAACATCCGCAACAATTTGACAAACTAATGATAAGATACGCGTGTAATTGGCATAGAAAAATGCAATATCGTCGTTGGTATCGCGTAGCGTGCATTCCCGATGAAACTCCAGCCATTCGAAGCGATTCGTTCGAACTATCGACTTTAATTTTCTCGAAAAGAAAAAAAGAGTCTCGGGTACGAGAAGTATCTACTTCGCGGTTCTTTTTTTTACTTATTTTCAAACGAAAAATAATTTCACGTCCGGTCGGCACGAGTTACGACGCACCCTGGTAATTGTTCGGTATTTAAAAATATACGAGCTGGTTTCGAACGGGTTTGAAAAGTTGAAAGGAAGATTTTGTTGCTACGGCTGAAAATACGACGCTACCATACTAAAGGTCTTTGGACGTCCTCTCGAATGTCGGCTGAAGAGATGCCTGGATATTATTTGCCCTGGCACAACGGCCTCCAACGTAGCCTCGAAAAGTATTTTGCACAGGCGATATTTACGCAGGACAAACATACAAAAGTACAAGGCAGCAGCGAGGGTGCGAGAGATGCAAAGCTAACGTGGCCGGTATGACACGAGGAGTAATAACTTACGATATCGTGAACACTTGGTCACGCACGCTGCATCGTGCGGTTTTACACGAAACGAAAGAAGTATGCATTCCTTTCTTTTTTGCATACCTTCCCCGGTACTTAAAATGAACCGAAGGTGCAACGCAGGGTACACACTTTGTTGTAACATCGATGATGTTTCGACGAAACGACGCGATCGTTCGAAAATAGAATCGTTTACGTTGTTTAAACATAATCGAGCCTTTTTTTAAAACGGTTAAAATTTAACCCGAAGTAACTTTGTTCGTTCGTTTACCCCTCGATGCCGATACACGTGGTTGATCGTATACTTTGAATCTAGCCAGCAACGATCGAACAATTTTGTGAATTATTGTTGACCAAATAATACATACGCTACGTTTATAATATATATTCTACGTTTTTTCTAAAGTAAAGCCAATTGCTCGACAAAATAAGCCATTAAAGAGACGCGTGTTTCTTACGCGATACTGGTAAACAAGCACCAACCTTTGGTCGAAATAATTAGTAACGCAAGAAAAAAGGTTGCAGAGATTGATCGAGGAATATATTTTTCTATATCAAACTGCTTTAAAATGTATAATGCCCGGTGATAGTCGCAGCTACCGTTTCCTACGTATTAACATTCAGCGCGTCGAGCCAAAGTTGAAGAACTGTTCTGCGCCTACAATCAGGCATTTCTGTACTATTACGGTTGCGCATAGTGAATTCCAACGTATCAAAACGATGAGTATTTTAAAAAAAAAAAAAGAAAAAAGTCGTAACGTTGAATATCCCGTCAACAGAATTACAGTTACTAATAAATAATACGCAAAATAGTTTCTGTTATTCAGTAAATATGAAAGAATCGTACATTTTTATGTAACGAATTTCCTGTCGAACCATTTCCTTTACGGCATTTTCATATAGAATACATGGACCGTCTGTATCTGCTAAACTTGACGTAATAAATATACTACTGCAGCATTAAATGTTATTTACTTATGTAAAATTTGCATCAATAGAAAAAAAAAGAGAAATTTAACTTCAACCGTTTTTTAATTAAATGGCGGCATTAATTTGTTGTTATTTCGGTAGCTCTCGACAAACTAAATAATGTTTGCTCGAAGCATTTTGTTCTATTCTGCATAATTAAAAAGTTATAGTGAAAAATAGAAATTTACCTTTCAAATATGTGATTTCAACCTTGTTTATATCTAGGCACGTGCTTGGGAGTACGAAACGATTTCCTCGGACATTTTGTCAACAACGTTGTCGCCATTTTGAAGTTTGAAATTCGGGTGTCGTGAAACTAAAAATTAGGTTTCAGACCCAATTCTAACCTGAAATAGTACGTAAACGCGAGGTGTTTAAATGTTCACCTAAAAGTTGATATTTTTCGTTTTTATGTAATACTTCCAGCGTGTACGAGTACGAATAGGGATACGTGTAAGTATATCGCGTTATTCCGCGGCGATGTAATATCATAGTCTCAAGAATTCGCAAGCCTCCATACTACGAAAATTATTGCCAAAATGTACATACGCTGCTTACCTAATCCCAAAGGTGTATTCGGATGCGGTTCACGTTCCGCAACGAGATTACTTTTTCCAGATATAAATCAAAAGAAGTTAACCTCAACGACACTGGCTACACGCGGTCGAATGCGCGGGTGCCGCGAGTCAGAATGCGCGCATGCGCATCCACTGTGGAATGTGCCCTCTCCCCACGGACAACCTCTTCCCGTCCCGCGGCCAGCGATGGACTCGAGACGCTTCGAAATACTTGGAATATTATTCGAAATTCTGCGTCCTTGAAGAATTCGACAAATTTTTCGACGATGTCTGTAATCTTGAAAATCTCGACGCGCTAAAATCCTTCGAGCAAGCATCGTCGATGGTTACATCACCGTTCGAACGATCAACGAAAATAATGCAATGGCCGTACAACTTTTACACGCGCAGCATTTAATTTCGATACCGTCGCGTATCTAGAATTTTCGAAATTCCGCGAAACCGTTAACCTTAAAATCGTCGTTCTATCGATATAATTTGTCTCTAATTCCGGGCCTCTCGTAGTCGTTAAGATCACGAATCGTTTCGAAAGCGTTTATCGAAATGTTTGTATTTAAATTCGAATAATGCTCGAGACGATACGGAATCCTTATACGATTAAATTGCGAAAAAAGCCTTGGACAGTATTGAATACCCATCACTCCGCGAGACCCGCCCTTCCCCTCCTCCGACCCTCATCCTGCTGTCGACCCTTGCAACCCCTCTTCGTCACACTACAATCGCGCGGCTCATTCCACTCGGCGACGTGCTGTCGTACGGTGGCCGTCGAAATGTGCATACACGGACGCACACGTATTTAAAGGTATACGTCCGCCACGAAGAATTCTTTACGCGCGAATATCGTGCATACGTGTGATTCTCCTCTCAGGAGTAAAAACCGTTCGCAATAATGCTATTACTTCGATTTTTACGAACTTATTCCAACGAACATAGAACGAGAGTTTGGGGTCATTAACACTTATTACCCGGATGAATATTAAAGAAAGACGAGAGGAGACTGCGTTTCGCAAAGCAATTTTTAAGTAATTTGTATCTCCGATGAAATATATTTTTCGTTGTAAAAATGAAAATGTTCACGCATAACGAACTTTAATCGAGTTTAAAGCGACGAGTTGCTAAATACAATCATTGGTTCGACAATGGAATATATTAGAAGCGTAATATAGTAAATACCTCAACTATTCGCACGCTCGCGCGTGAAAAGACTATTCAGCGTTTTTGCGTTACGCGGGTCATCGGCGGAAAGGTTTTCTTATAGACTACTTGGTAAGAAAATTCAATTAGTACCCAGGGAATCGCTACTGTGACTGTACATTTCGAATTCATAAAACTTTAATCAAAAAGCAATCAAGTAATAACGAGTAAAACGTGTATCGCTGTCTGTAGACACTTAAATTTCATTGGCCGTGCTTTTCGTGAAAGAAGTATTAGCTATTTAAATATGCCGCCAATCGGTACGGTCCGGTGGTTGAAGAACATAACCACGAACTCGGATATTAAAATACATCGATTTAATGCGGTAGAAAACCACGCATTCGTTCGGGTAATTCATTCTTACTGCGCGTATACGAAAGATGAAATACAAAAGATGCGTTACCTCTTCTTTACGTCCCCAGTGATTTATCTCGGCGAAAAGAACATCCCGGCGATGCACGTAATCCGGTTAATCCAACGTAACACAAAGAAGCGTGCTTTAGGCGCGCAACAGGTGGTCGTAACGAATAAACACTTTTGAGTAAGGATACTATAAAATACACAGCACAACACAAATCGCACGTTTGCCGCCGCTTACACGAGACTCCGTGATCTCACGTGATCTTGGACGCGGACGAAACGAATTCCTCTTCCTCTCTCTCTCTCTTTCTCTCTCTTTCTTTTTCTCTTTCTCTTTTTGTTTTCTCTCACACGCCGTTCGAAACGCGGTAAAGCCGTTTTCACGGCATCGGGAACGACATTCTTACTCGAAGAAAATTTTCCAGCTTCGCTGGGCAAGCGTGATACATAGAACCTCGCTTTAGAAATTTAGGACACAGTCCTGTGGAACGAGACGTACAAGACCTGAACAAAACACCAGCACAACGTACTGCACCGGCGGCCGGCGAGTGACTGACTAGCGGCACACGCCGGCTTCCCATAGTCGAGGAGCTAACCCAACACACAGCAGAATCAACTTGCACCCCACGAAACTACACGCGAACTGCATCAACTATCGATGAGCACCGATAGCATAATATACGACGATTCGTATCGTTTCGATTGCAAATATTTTTTTTAAATCTTATATGCAGCCACTGAATTGATCGTTGAGTACAACATTTTTTAAAATCATATCTATACAATCATGGATACTTGATAAATTTCATTTGACAATAATACCAAAAAATCTTTTGTTTTAAAATCGAATAGAAATTTTCTAATATTTAGGCTCGAATTTCTTCTTATTTCACATTATGTAATATTATTTCTATTAATAATAGAAAAATACAAATATATTTGCATACTATTATTATAAATGCACAATCTGTTGGTACTCCAATATATTAATATAATGAATAATAATTGACCTTTTCATTTACACGTGTAGCAATTAATATTTTGTGACAAAGTATCGATATCGTTTAATAGATTACGATGTATAAGAAATATACGAATTTATTCTAGTCATGATATTAAACTAATATATTTGTATACACGTATACTTGACTTAAAAGGATATATGTTATGCAGTAGACTTAATAGAACGTTACTCAAATATATATTTTTTTCGTGTAACTGAATTAACGTTCAAGCTTTTTTTAACGGATTCAGAATGAAAAATCAAAATACGCGCGGCATGGTGTTCCTGCATATGGCTGCTACCATCTTACGGTGAAGGCCCTAAGTAAACGGGTTTTACAGGTTGAGAAAGGCAACGTACGTGAGCGGACATAGCGGGCGCCATAGTCAGCGGAACTATCTGCAAAGATCACAGTATGACGTAAACGACGATCTAAACAAGTATCAGCTGTGTAGCAGTCATTGTTCGTATCCGTTTTGGCAGTCGTACAAGAATTCTGTTTTTCTTCGTTTTCTGGTCGTCGGGCAGTAGATCCGACGGAATAAACGGTATACATATTAGTCGGGAAGACAAGTGAAAAAAAAGGGGGGAGGCTACGAGTTTTCCGTAGAACGCAACCGTGGCTGCGTGCGTGCTCCAGCCCCAGCCCCACCAACGATCTTAGGGACAATAATCGTGTGAAAAACGGGGCGGTACGCGCATAAGCCTGGCCTCGAGCGGCGAGTCGGACGACGGTGGACTCGCTCCGCCACCGCGCAAAAGGTCCCGTAGTTCTCTCCCGACTACCCTACGACCAGCGGACGAGCACCACACCGATCCCGAGATGGAAAACTATCGGTAACGCAATCAGGGCCCTAGAACATCGCGAGCGCGTAGTCAACACACGAAGGGGCTTACCCCCTTCGTTATGACGCTCTCACGTATATCTTCTTCCTTCCAGAATCTCAAGACGTATCCACGTCGGATTCCTTTCATATCTGCTGTCTCACAAGCGGTTTTCTTATTTGTTCAAATCATTTCGTCGAATAGTCATAAATCTTTTGTACAAAAGCATAGTGTTTTAAGATTTTTGTAAAAAAGAAGAGATACTTGTGTCAAGATAGAACGTACCAATTAGTATCACGTATGCGTTAATATTATGGATCGATTATTGCCAACCACGGGTAACATTTCCGTGTGCATGACAGCGTAATGCAACAGCAGGCCTCAAATGGTGGCATTTCCTCCGGACTTCAGCAGAATGGGGGTATGGCTGACTCTGGTGGACCCCATGCAAATGGCAACATGATATTGGATTTGGACAGTGACATCAATGGTGTAAACGGCGAAACAAATCAGAACTTGGGACCACCGAAAATAATGGACAAAACTAATCAAGATATTGTGAGACTCATCGGTCAGCATTTGAAGACAGTTGGACTAGAGTATGTACTGTTTTTCGCTTGACCCATACGTGTCTGTAAATTATAGGGGAAAAGGCCATCTTCGTTGGAAAAACAAAAGCATTTAAAGTGTAGTGTGTTTATAATTGATAAATTAATCTTTATGGCTTATAAGCCATTTTATATGTAACGCGTAATGATATAATTACGTTTTGGCCATAATTCTTTTATTTGTATAGATGTTTTTAAGCATTTTCTTTGTTTCTTGTTTCTTGAATTTTCTTTATGCATATGCATTTATCAGAACTATTGTATCGCAACCTATCTGGACTGCATACTGTGTGGTGGGAGAAAGCTAATTATAGAACCTTGAAATATAGTCACTAGTATCTACAAGTTATACTTGCTTTATAATGATGTAGGCAATGAAAAAGGGACATTAGAACTTAGCATACGTATAAATTACTTTTGCAGTAAGGTACATTGTTATAATATTCAATTTAGATGCGGATAACATACTGAGAATATGTAATTATTACCAAGTATAATTTGTTGGTTATCTTAAACTGAATTAAATTGTGCTGACAACAAAAATTAAATAGTTAATATCTTCTTGTTGTAAAAGTTTTATAGTTAATTATAATTGGCAAAATGAAATTTGTACTTTCAGTCGTACAGCAGATCTTCTTATGCAAGAATCAGGTTGTCGTCTAGATCATCCTGCAGCTGCAAAATTTAGACAGCATGTCATGGATGGGGATTGGGCTAAGGCAGAACATGACCTTAACGAACTTAAATCATTTTTAAATGGTGCAAGTCAAAGTCTAGTGGTAAAATTTTTATATTAAAACCTTTCAAATATGATTGAATGTATATATGTAATTCGCGCATATGTATATATTTATATTATATTTATAATTTTTGATTACAGGAAATGAAGTTCTTATTACTAGAACAAAAATACCTAGAATACTTGGAAGAAGGATTAGTATTGGAGGCATTGCAAGTTTTACGCAACGAACTTACACCATTAGGTCATAACACAGGTCGTGTTCATCAGTTATCTGCATTTATGATGTGCAGTGGACGTGATGAATTACAGGTACTAGTATATACATTTTACTAATATTACATCGTAAATACATATATAGCTTAATGTCTGGTATATACTTTATTACATTAGTATTTGATTACAAATGCGTATTCGAAGATTAAAATTTTGTATGCGTATCAAAATGTTTTGAAACTAACCTGCTACTGAAAATTTGATCACTAGCAAATAGACACTTGTTAACAGACACGTGCAGGCTGGGATGGCAAAGGTGCAACATCGAGAGCTGCTCTAATGGACAGACTACAGAAATATCTACCACCCTCTATTATGTTACCACCACGTCGCCTTCACTCTTTATTATGCCAAGCTGTGGAGATGCAAAATCAGCAGTGCACATACCATGTAACGCATACTCAGGTACTTAATTAATTTTGTTAAATTGATAGTAAACGATAATGCATTAATATTTATGGCTTTTTATCTTTTAAATCACTTTAAATAAAGAATATTATCCAACAGGCTATAATATCTTCAACTTCATTACTATTTCTTTAATTATTTTATTATTTTATACCGATGCAATTATAATTAATTTCTATTGTAAATTAGACAAGTTTAGAAAATGTGTCGCTGCTTGTGGACCACAGCTGCAGCAAAGAACAATTCCCGTGCCATACTATACAGGTGCTCAATAATCACTGTGATGAAGTGTGGTATTGTAAATTCTCACCAGATGGTCTTAAACTAGCTACAGGTTCTAAGGATATGACTGTCATTATTTGGGATGTTGATCCAGTAAGTAAATCGTTAAACGTAATAAAGTAATAACATTTCACGATTTGAATTACGATTTTCTTCTAATGAAAATAGGAAACGTTGAGAGTAACTCATAGAAAAACACTAGAGGGTCATACTTATGGGGTGGCACTGATTGCTTGGAGCCCCGATAGCAGCCTTCTAATTGCTTGTGGACCCGAAGATTGTCCAGAGCTTTGGCTTTGGAGTATTGATCCACCCGATTATGAACTACGCGCGACAGTAACTCAAAGTACCGATGATTCGCTTACTGCTTGCGCCTGGTATCCAGATTCGCGCAAATTTGTAGCTGGAGGACTTCGTGGACAGTTCTATCAATTTGTAACATATCAATTAAATTTATCATATAATGAACTTCGTTTGTTTAACAAAAGAAACTTTAAGCCTCAAATAAATAAACATTTTTTAGGATTTAGAAGGTAATGTGTCAGAGTCTTGGGAAGGAGTTAGAGTAAAATGCTTGTGGTGCAAAAGTGATGGGAAAACTGTTTTGGCTGCTGATTCGCATCATCGAATTAGGGGATATAATTTTGACAATTTTTGTGACTTTACAATGTAAAATTATAGCTATTATTATTAAAAGTAGTATAATGTCTGAATTTTCTATTCATCGAGATATTCATTTAATATTACAGATTACAAGAAGATCATCCAGTAATGTCATTTAGTGTAAATAAAACAGACCGACTTGCACTTCTCAATGTGGCTAATCAGGGTGTACATCTTTGGGATTTACAAGATAGATGTTTAGTAAGGCGTTTCCAAGGTGTTACTCAAGGACATTTTACAATTCATAGTTGTTTTGGCGGTGTAAATCAAGATTTCATTGCATCTGGTAGCGAAGGTATCCTGAATTAATTAATGTATCATGAAATTATAGATGACGTGTAACCGCATTAGTATATGGTAAGATATATTTTTTTCTTTACATTATAGACACTAAGGTGTACGTGTGGCATATCAAAAGGGAACATCCTATAGCAACTCTAACAGGACATAGTAGAACAGTAAATTGTGTTTCATGGAATCCGGTATACCATCAAATGATGGCTTCTGTATCAGATGATTGTACAGTAAGAATATGGGGACCTAGATCGTCTTCTCCAGAAAAGGCTGAAAGTGACAAGACTGGTAAGTTCATTTGAGTTAGTTCTTTGTCTAAATTGTGTGAAATATAGTTGTATGATCCTGATTATAGTAGTACCACGTTAAAACAAATTCAAAGTATTAAAATGTCTGCAGAAAAATATTGTTGAGTGTATCAAAAATATGCTTT